ATCTAAAGACATCTAGTTACTTATTCTAGTGTCTAGGGGTATGGTCAACAACTGTCATCACAGACTGTAGCATCTACCCTATTCTCTGCCTCTTCTGAGAGTGCGAGTGCTTGCTTTCTCTGTTTTCTCTGTTCATTTGATCTACCAGCAGAATCACTAACTTTAGAACAGTCCTTGAGCCAGCAACTTGCTCATGATTCTTATCCAGCAGGCATAGCAAGTGGGCATGAGGTTATCCATCCTATGTTGCCTATGATTGAGTATAATGCTCATGAAAGCCAGGAAGAGACACTGGATAGAAAATTACATGTTGGAAACTGGCGGCGAAGGCAAGACACATCTGACGATCCTATCTGTGGATTATTACTTGAGTATATTGAAGGCACCACGCTGAACAAAGCATATCTCCCACCAAAAAGTGCCCAGAGTTTACGTGATCAGCTAGAGCTATTACATAGTCTGAAAATTGTTCAGGGTGACCTTTTTCCACATAATATGATGGTTTCCAAAAACGGTCGTGCCTTTTTACTCGATGTTAGCGGTGCGCAAATGGCCTCAGAGGAAGGTCAGCTCATTCGCAAAACGTCCAGCTTTCTATCCTGGGCAAAAGACGAGAGGTCTAGACTTGAGTTATTTCTTTTTCGACTCCAGAATGCTAGTTACTCCGTTATGGAATTTCTTGGTCACGCTCACGCTCTCATAGTTGAAACGACACCGAGGAGTGAAGTTGTCAGATGCCCAGAGTGACGAAGAGGCATTTGGTAGGCCTCTGGGAGAATGGATGGATAGATGTTTTACCATTGAAGAGTAACCCAATAGGGTGCGTGGTGTGGTTCGGTTATACAAAACCTGAACAGTAAACCCAGATGGTCTAAGTTATCAAACAGATTAATCATGACTTTAATCCATTACCCAAGAGCTCTTCTCCAACTTGTCGTATAAGCTGTTCCCCGGAAAACCCATTGACATTAGCTTTCTCTAGCACAATAGTCCCCGCTTCCATTGCGCGACACAAATCGAGCACTTCCCCGTTCATTGGGGCACAATACGCCAGGAGGCCTAGCGACAGAAGTAAACCACGCAAGTTTTCTAGGCTCTCAGATTCGTTCCGTATAGCTTCAATGAGTGATGCAACTAGTTCTACCTGAACTGCTTCTGGTAGCTTATCGGGACGGTCTTGTAGCCGTTCGTTGTGATTCAGGGCTGCTAAATTGTAAATAAAAGAAGCTGCGGCAACGCGAAGATTTCCATGCGAGTCTAGTAGGCATGTGGTTGCAAAGTTAATACACGTCTCGCGGAGCGTGTCAGATGAAAGAAACTTGTCCGGATAGAGCTGTGTCGTAAATATGTTGCACATCAATTGCGCCATTACAAGCTGGTGGTTGTAAGGAGCAGTCTGGGGTGTCTTTGCTCTAGCAAGCAATGCCAATAGAGTGCGATGGCCCGTTTCCTCTGCAAAAAACCCGCTCACTCTCGCATCACAAAAGGCAGTTCTGACCAAATCTATTATGGCGAAATGGATATCTAAGGGTAAATCGGAAAACTTGGTTTGAATGAAACTAGCCAGTCGTGGTAAATCAGGCAAGGGCGGTCTCGCAGAGTCAGCTGTAACATCTCTTTTTAAAAAGGTAACCAATTCTGCGAGTACAGGGTCATCACCAACGGGGCCAACTTTTAAAAGAAGCTTATCTAATGGCGGGGTCTTTTGATAAGTAATGTAAAAATCAATCATTCGCTGTAGGCTTGGAAGCGACAGGTTATTATGCGCATGTGGAGGCCAAGCTACTTGGATCAGCATTCGAACATTACCTCGAAGCTGGCTCTCATCAGCACCGCTCCATTGATTGTCTTTTTGCCCTTTCAAAAATGTTATGAATGTCGGAGTGGCTCTGATATTATACTTTGATGAAACATCGAGGGCTTGGTTAATGTCCACTTTAATAAGTATAGCTTTCTCTCCAGCTTCTTCGGCCAGCTGGTCATAAGCTGGATAGACAATTTTACAAGGTGGGCATGTGGAAGAGGTGAAAAATATCACAGCACATGAATATTGAGCCTGAAAGAGAAGATTATCAACGGCCTCGAGGGTTGTCACGTTGTGAACTCGGTTCACATGAGCTGAGGCTGTAGCGTGCGGTATTAGCGAAGTTATTGGTTGACTTGGTTGTGCTGGTAGGTCTTGCGCTGGACCGCGAAGCAAATTGTCAATATACGGTTTCATCATCTGGCCAAGTGGAGAGCTTAGGAATTGATCTGGTAGATTCCTGATATGCTCCGGAATTCCTTTTCCAACGAGGAACATAGCTAAATCGTGTGTGAAGTTATTACAGTTCCGTAAGAACAGATCGTAGGACTGGAATTGTATTAGTTTCTCAACACTTGTGCTAAAAATAAGCGCCATACATCTTCGGTATATGTTTTTGATAAAGAGTCCATATACTCAATAATCACCTCTAGCGGAAGTTCTGACCTGCCGAGCGAAAGGGTCTCCATTGGCTGACCATGATGTGTTGTTCCAGGAGCAGCTTGTTGAATTCCCCTACCAAAATAGTACTCAACACCACCAAATACAAGGGACGTATGGTATATTGCGTCTATCTGTGTCCCAGAAATTGGAAGCGATAGCTAAAAAGATACGTCAGAGTGGTAAACGGTCCTTTTCCATTCCCTTGACATACAGTTCGGGCGAGGCCCTGTCACACGGTCAGCATCGTATATACACTAAAGGTAAATAGGATATTAATTATGGAACTTTACATTTGACAAATCGTAGATATATAATGTCACATCCATTGTAAGATAGTCTTGCCTATATCATCCAAAGCCACAGAACGCTTTCAGAATGACCTTTTATCAGTAGCTCCAAGATCCGGTCTCTTGCTGCACATTTCCATTACTTGTCCGCGAACCTAATGTGTATGTGACGACACTCGTGTGATGCTATGAGCTATGAACTGGAGAAAGATTGCCTAATTCTGGTTATGGAGTAGATTAGGTACTATTTATAACCAAGCAAGGTTAATTCGTGTCACGTGCTGCATGGTTCTAGCCCGTTAGTTAACTATCCAGTGGTTTGCATTTTGGTCCAGCTGCATGTACGGACTCCGGAGTACGGAGTACGCAGATCTAACTAGCAAAGAGCTGCATCAGGGATCGATTAATTCTAGTTTCAATACAGAGTACTCCATACTCTGCCGCCTGTCCTAACCGGAATAAGAATTGTGTCTTACCGTACCATTTAACGACTTCCTTGCTTCATACGACTGAATGATTTAACGCTATGATTAAAGAAAAGTTAGGTAAGATTAAGCATATTCTAGATCATAGATTTATTGCCCCTCTTCTGTTCAACTATTTACAAAGAAACGAAAGTGGAGAAACAGCGCGGCCCTATCTAGTCATAAGCACGTAACTGCCTCTTGTGGTAGCTACCATTCGAAGCAACTTCTTAACTCCACCTGAACCTTGGCCAGCCTCTACACGCAGGCATAATGGTACGTAATTTTAATGAATGAATATCGCTTTGTTCATTTGAACCATATATCTCGTATGATATTGACTTACTCTACGAATAGCCACCAAAGCGCCGAAGTGTAGCTTCATCGTCCACACCTGGCCGGGCCCAAGCAAAAAAAGCGCGAATCTCTAAGCTTGCTAAAGAGAATGATATCACCACAGAGGAGGAGGCCGAGATAAAAGAAGCATTTCGTCTTTTTGCTATAAGAGAACTTGCTGAGGATCTTGAAGAGTTCTCCTCAGAAAAGGAAGGCGTGATTAGGACGGCCGATGTGCGCCGGGCGCTGGTGTAAGCATCACTCATTGTCTACACAATACCTCTTTGCAGCAACGCCCCGGAACTCACATGGATATGTTATTAGGGCGCTTGGTTTACCAACTACCTCCCAATCCGAGCTTAATTCCATACTTTCTGCTGTCGACCCTTCACGTACCGGCTACGTTTGCTACGAACCCTTCCTCTCAGTCTGTGCGCTCAAACTACACTCGCGTACCGACGATTCTATATCAGAGGAAGTAAGTCATGCGTATCAGCTTTTTACACATGGCACAGACGGGCCTATCTTGTTATCACACTTGAGACGTGTTGCGAAAGAGCTCAAAGAGGATGTCAGTGAGGAGTTGCTGCGCGATATGGTTAGGGAAGCAAATGGCGGAGAAGGATTACATGCAGGTGTTAATCTTGAACAGTTCAGAGATGTCATGAGACGTGCAGGGGTATTTTAGCTCATATTCCCGGTTGTCAATTCTTCGATGGAGTGACTTTCTCTTTTAGAGGGTTTATTGGTGCATCTGCTATGGAGTTCTGGTTTTTTGGAATGAAAGCGCGTTTATTGGTTTATATGGGATCATTGGTATGCACATAGTAATTTTCAGCCTGCCTTGTGGAGGAGAACTAGTAACGTCACGTGGTTGGATATCATCGTTTGAATGTATGGAGACATAGCTGAGCAGCCACAAGCTCGAAATACTAGCAACAATTTAAACCATCAAAAACATGACCGAGCAAGAAGCCCTTGCACTATGACCGCTTCTTTTTTTCGCCGATTGTTTCGCTTCGGCGGTAAAAGACTTCCCCCGCTCCGCATTGGTCTCTGGGCAGCCGGGGCTTTCTGCACCTGCAAGGTCTTCAATGAACACGCTTACGAGTTGCAGCTCTCTTCGGGCCCATCGATGTATCCAACGATACATTTCAAAGGAGACTACCTGTTGATTTCGAAATACTACAAATATGGAAGGAGAGTCGAGGTTGGCGATATCGTTACTTTTAAACACCCATCTTATCTGATGATGGCCGCAAAGAGAGTGACAGGATTGCCAGGGGATTACGTGGTGATCGATCCCGAGGACCAATCTGGCAGTTTAGCCAAGATGATTCAAGTGAGATCATAGGCCTTTATTTTACTTAGATTTATCGCTGACTAGTCTGTTAATGTGCGAGTAGGTTCCCGAAGGTCATATCATGGTTACCGGTGACAACCTACCTTGGTCAAGGGATTCTAGAGACTTTGGCCCATTACCAATGGGGCTGATAACGGGAAAAGTCATTGCAAAAGTCTGGGCACCACTGAATTATCAGCGGATAGAAAACTCTCTTATGCACATTGAGCAGATTCCCGCGGATGAAGGGTCTTGACCTCCACATACCTACGGACATTCCACCTCAAATCCCATAACGTTGGGATATATCCTTGTATAGTACAAACCTGCCATGGCGAGCATATAAACGGCTTTGTTGGATAGTACATATAGAAGCAGCGAAAAGAACGCTGCGCCAAACACATAAAAAGTCCTTGAGCAACTCCGACGAATCGGCAATTAGTTACCTAAATGAGGCGGGGTTCCTCCTTTTATAAGGAAGAGGCTCCACCCTCTTACGCTTCAACTCAATGTCTATTCCCTCAACTCCGAGTCCGGTCATCACATCCAGCATGTCTTCATCCCAGTGGGTTCTAAATAGATGGGCGCCAATGGGTTTGAGTTGGTGCCTCGTCTCAAAACTACGTAGGCGGAAGCCTTCTCTCTCCACTTTCTTCTGGGCAACATTGTAGTCAAGAGATTTCTGATCCTTTTGCTCCATGATAAGTATTGAGATTCGGTGATACGGGCTGCCTTTGAGTGCATACGGCGCCAACCACGGAAGAATCACCTGCGACTCGGGAGCCAATTTGTCCAAAGATACCGAAATTTCCGTTGGTGAGATGGGCACGTTAATCGCGAGGAAATGGCAACGATGGTCAAACGCATCTGTTTCCAAATTTGGAACATCGGGGTCGACGACCGCGATAGTGACCAGTTTCGCATCTTTGGCAAACGATTGTATTTGGAGGTCTGGAGCCACTGTGCTAGCGCGAGAGTTGACGAATTCTCCAGGCTGAACACTCTTCCTGCCAAACGACAACTTCACATCCACAATTGGGTCTATATGGGCTAATACGTCGGGGACGACCTTCATCTGTGTAATTCGCTGTACCAGAATTGCTCGACGGTACTCTCTCCATTTCCTGTCGGCTAGGAATCGGTAAATTGGCTTATCCATATCACCTAGACGATTTGTTAGGTGACTTAATATACCAACAAATCGGTTCAAACCACGACTTACCCATCCCGTCCTCAAATCGTCTCTTTGTCATGGGGTCATTGATATCCGCAAGGATTTTCAACTCCTCCAAATGCTTCTCCATGCTTTTTATCCTCGTTTGTTTCTGAGCCTTTCCAGCATCATCTTCAGGAGTAGTAGCGCGTAGTCGCTCCAGACGTCCTCGTTCCGTCTCAATTTGTTTTAGCTTCTCCGCCCTATCCTCTAAGATTATCTTTCGGGCTTCTTGAAAGCATTGATATGGCAATTGCGGGAATGAAATGTTCGGGGAATTCTGTAGGGCGGCTCTTCGTCTGCGAGAACCAACAGGAAATTTTCCAGCGCGAATAAGCCTACGTTCCAGGCGAGGGCTTGTCACTAAGAATGGATCTGGCGCCCGATAGAAAGGCTGCTCTTTGGGAACCTCTCCTTGAGCACCTTCTTGTGATGCGGCTGTAGATGAAAACGAGCGGTTAGGTTGAGGGTGTAGCGCAGCAAAGCCACTTCTGTAGGTCTGGCGAAAACATTGTAGAAATGGCTTTGATGCCATCTCGCAATGCGCTATGGCGAGTGGGTTCAACCTGCGGACAAGCTGCTTGAGGTTTGCTGAAGAATCTCGAGGTTTTTTTTATTTGGTCCAAACTGGGTTCGCTAGCGCCAAAAATCAAACTTCTGCAAAACGTCAAAAAGCGTGAGGCGAAGACGAAGACGAACAATTTTCCCCGAATCTCTCAGCACAAAACCACAAAGAAATCGCTGCGACGGCGGCAGATCCAAAATGACTGGCAGCAAAGCGCTGGGTACTTTGAAATGGCTTAGTCGCAGCTGCAATTGGGCTGGTGTTCTCGACCCTCCAAGAGTATATCATCTCGAAGTCCACTGTTCGATTTAACCATGACTAACACGAATCTAGCAATGCCTCCCTAAATATCTCTCGCGATCAATGGTGACTACTACACAGGTTCATAGCGACACATATTCGAGAGATTTTTTAAATGCACACGTATCCTCAGCGCCTCCTGTTACCAATGATATTCCCACCCCAACTTGGGACTCCCCCCCAGCAATTGCGACTCTTTACGATTTTCATACGATGGAGCCTCTTCAATTTCTCGAATATAAAAATGAGCAGCTTCTTCTTCCTCTTCGCCGAGACATATTGCACCGTGCCATAGTTTACGAAGGTGACATGACAAGGCAGGGTACCGCGAGTACTAAATGGCGAGACGATGTACGAGGCAGCAGGAAGAAAATCAGGCCTCAAAAAGGGACTGGTCGTGCCCGTTTGGGCGATAAGAAGTCGCCCATGTTAAGGGGAGGTGGTGTTGCATTTGGACCACATCCACGAGACTTTTCGACTGAGCTACCTCGACAGATCTACGACAAAGCCTGGCGAACAGCTCTTAGCTTCCGATACCGACGAGGCCAGTTAGTAATAGTTGACAACAATATATCTATACCCGAAGGCGCGAGCGTACACTATCTAAAGCAGATTTTCACTAGACACGGCTGGGGAGCACGTTTTGGGCGGTCGTTACTCATTACGGACGTGAAGGAGGCAAAGCTTTTTAAGACAATGGCGCAAATTGGCGAAGACGCAAGGGTGCTGGACCGTGAAGATGTTGACGTTAAAGATTTACTTGAAACTGGGCGGTTGATCATTGAGCAACGGGCGCTGGACCAGATGCTCGCCCGCCACTCTAGTGATTTGAAAAAGGCGCCGAGGGTAGCTTGACTAGCACAAACGGAGTACTCATTATTTGTATAGTAGATATCTTACTGAAGTATTTTGTGGGTTCTTTTTGTCATTCCCCTCATAAACGGAAGGCTCCGCGGTGTAGATTCTCATTCTCTTGTCTTGCTCATTAATTCTCCATCTTGCAGAATCAAGATAAAATTACGGCACTTAGACGGACTCACACTTTCAATGTGCTTTCGGGCATACTTTTCTTGTTCCTATGCACTGCCCGAGGTCAACCGAGTTGCGCAAAAAAGCTTCCCCAACTTTGATCCTGAACCAACAATTTTGTTCGGCCCGAAACATCACACCTGCCTTCACGTTTCACCCTATTTTTCTCTCCCAGAAATATATCGGCCTCGTGGGCTTCCTTTGCCATTAATGTTCCTCCGATCCGCCTGTGTTCGATCATCGCCGCTGAGCTGGCTCTCGCGGAGCTCTTCTAGAACCATGCCACTCGCCGCGAAGCTCGTAAACCCAGCTTTTACAGGACATGCCCGGGTAAGTGGACGACATTGTTGTCTTGCTCGTTCTTCTTCGAGCCCTACTAATCGATAATCTTCTAAGATGGAATCCACTGCGACAATCCCCCAAGAACTTCCATCTGATGAGCCTAACGACGTCGTGTTCAACAGTCTCTACGGCATCCGGTCGATTGAGCTTAACAGACCGAAGAAATTGAACTCTCTAAACGGCTCCATGGCACGAAAAATAGTCCCCAGATTGAAGGTATGCAGGCTTCTCCGCACCCTTCTCGCAGGATAATGTTGAGGAAGACTAGGAATGGGAAAATTCGCACCTAGCAAATATCATTATGATATCAGGCGCAGGAGAAAAGGCCTTTTGTGCGGGGGGCGACGTTACTACTCTCGCTGAGCAGAACTCTAAAGGGGCGGAAGGACAGAAAAAATCCAAGGCTTTCTTCTCCCTTGAATACCAACTTGATCACCTTATTGCGACGTACTCGAAACCATATATTGCCATCTTGGATGGGATTACAATGGGCGGCGGTGTTGGACTCAGCGTACATGCTCCATTCCGGATAGCCACAGAAAAAACTCTCTTTGCCATGCCTGAGACTACAATCGGGTTTTTCCCTGATGTTGGGGGGTCGTTCTTCTTACCTCGTCTCGATGGAGAAATTGGAACGTATCTCGCTCTGACTTCAGAACGACTTGCGGGTATTCAAGTGTTTTATTCGGGGATCGCTACACATTATTTCCATTCCAGCACCCTAAGCAGCATCACAGCGCGCCTCTCCGAGCTCACCTTCAAGGACTATGCCTCTCTCCAGGAGCGACTCGATCTCATTAACCGGACATTGTCAGAGTTTCCCACCAATTTACCAGATGATAAGATTCAACTTTCTGGTAGTATCCGCCAATCAATTGATCGCTGCTTCTCCAAACCCTCCGTGGAGTCGATCATCGAGGCGCTTGAGGAGGAAACAGAGAATAAGGAATGGGCACAAAAGACTATTAAGACGTTAAACGTTCGTTCTCCTACCGCACTTAAGGTTACACTTCGTCAGCTTCGTGTCGGGCGTAAATGGTCCATCGGAGAGACCTTCCAACGCGAGGAGAAAATTGCCGCTCGGTTTATGGAACATCCTGATTTTGTTGAGGGTGTTACTGCGCGCCTTATAAATAGGCCTCCCACAGAACCACGCTGGACCCCTGCTACTCTAGCAGAGGTTACGGACGAACATGTCGACGACTTCTTCCGTATTCCTCAAGGTGAACGACGCCTGCCGCTTTTAAACCCTGAAATTGACTACATGGTTTATCCGCACGAGCGATTAGCGCTCCCCTCTGAAAGGGAAATTGAACGGTTTGTACGCAAGTCCGGAGAATCTAAGTCCCAGACCGTTAAAGAGTTTTTACTGCGGTGGGATTATAAAGATGGGGTCAAAGAAAAGGTCAGCGAAGTTCTTAACCGCAAAACAAAAGTCACAGAGAAGGGCGGAAGAGAATGGATAGAAGAGTCATAATTATTAAACTAAATACACATCTATACTTTAAACTCATCGAATAACCCGACCGTACATACACATTCCTGCTCATAGCAAGGGAGGCCAGCAAAAAGAAAATAAATAAATTGAGATTTTGAACCTTGTAAGAGCTATTTAGATTTTGCTACAGTATAATTAGATGTCGTGGTCTTTCAGCCGCATGACAAAGGAAAAGGAATCTCCAAACCGAAGGCAGACATTTGATATTGAGATTTGACCCTTTTTACTGGAAGGTCGACTAAATTCGTCTGGGGGATGGATTCGGGGGGAAGTTTTAAGACGTGTTATGTATGGTTTGGAGAAACTCGTAAGCCTCATATTATCTGGACTGGCATAAGAAGCTTGCAGTGATTTTTTATGATGATAAGATAAATAAATATATGGCGGCGTGGGATTGGCTGGACGTTGGCGTCTCTGACTTGGTGTCTGAATATTGTCAAGTGCTTCGTATAAAATTTCTGATATCTTTTATACAGTTGATTGCTAGAACTACACACCCCTTTTTCAGCTCTACGTTTGGAGTATATTCTGGGAGCTGAAGCCAATTAGTCAGCCTCGCACTTGGTCAGTCTAGCAAGCCATAGAGTCAAACCTTAAAGTTGACTTCATCAGAGCTTGTTTCTCTCAACATACGAGCAGATTTATCGGAGCCACTGAACAATGTGGCTGGATCAATTCGGCACGCCCCATGGAAGTACAGTTAAAATACTCCAGTGAATGATGACTGAACTCAATAGCCACCGAAAAACGCTCTGCCTTCCAGTACCACCCGCAAAACTCTTCGCCCCTGTTGCTGTTGAGGAAGATGGAGATTGGCACGACGTCTGTTAGGCGCACTGCGGCATCTGTCTTCTCCCATATTCTGATACTCCGAGATAAATGCCTCGAACTGCTCTATCCATCGAGCCATGCAGATGTTGATTCGATATCATTAGAAACCTTACAATTCCTTGCCGCTGGTAAATCTGGAATTGTTTATGCGATCGATGATAAGAGGGTTTTAAAAGAGTTTCAAGAAACAGAGCGGGGTGAAGTTGAGCGTCAAGCATATTGCCGCCTCGGCTCACATTCTAACATTGCAAAATTGCTGGGTACTCGGAAAGATGGCTCTATTGTTCTCGAAAGGGGCGAGGTCCTCCGAAAAATATGTCGGTCGCCCTCCGCAGATAAGATTCCGATTGAGAGGAAGCTTGGCTGGCTGAGACAAGCTGCAAGGGGCTATCAACATCTGCATAATAGCAATATCATTCATAGTGATGTTGGGTGCAATAATATGATTATAACAAAGGAGGGTCGTCTGAAAATCATTGACTTTGAAGGCTGCAGTATCGACGGTGAACCGGCGGATTCCTGCTATGAATGGTTCAGCTACCGACCATCGGTGCCAAGGGCGAGCCGATCTACTGATATTTTTGCATTTGGCTGTGCAGTCTACGAGATTATCACTGGAAAACCACCGCACCATGAACTCGAAGTATCCAATGATCGATATCATCTCGTTGAACGGCTATACGCAGACAACAACTTCCCCGATGTTACGTCGCTACCCCTAGGTCAGTTGATCCAGAGCTGCTGGCTGAACTGTTTTAGTTCTATGAGCGAGGTGGTTCGAGAACTAGAAGCATTCAACCCCAGGAGTTCTCGGGGCTTGGACTGAGGTGTCATGGGCTTCGAAATAGACATCAACCTTTTGATCTTGCTTTAGATACATACTACTATCAGGTGTTTTAGATGTGAGTATTATTTCTTAGTATAACATCATCATTTCCTGTAATATATCTTGTTCAAATCCTGCTCGGACTCTACAGAGCCTTCCATTCAGCATTCCGAGATTCGAACAGAGCCTAGCCATGGAGATCCACCTATAATACGCTCAGGCTCAGTGCCATTTACCTGAGAGCGCAGTTTTTCTTACCCATTTAATCTGGTAAATTTCAAGGGATATTCCTGAGTCCCGACATGCCGGGCATACCCCTCCCTTCCTAGAAGGAAGCTGATCTAGATTTGGGTCGTGTGTCAGGGTGTCACAAGGAGGGCCTGGCTTCGGCGAAAGAGTGCATCTTTTCCGGAGGCGTGTCTCTATCTTATGTTGCGGTTGCTTTGTGCATTGTCCACGAACGGCATGAGTAATACCATAAGAACACATGGTGGACTTTCGCTATAACGAATATCGAATTGGAGCGTGGTCAACTGAGTTGGCTTTGGATGACGGACAGACAGCTTCCAGGGAGCCTAGATTTTCTTTTATGGGATCCAAATATATTGACGGGGCTGACTAAAACTGGTTACTTTCTACATTCCAGTTTAAAGGACGTGAAGAGTGCTCATACATACATGGATATACCAGCCAAGCCAAGTGGCTCCTGGTTGTGACCTGACTGTTTTTGGGCACGTCAACAAAAGCTGGGACGTGGGCTCCCGGATAAAGCTATGAAGTAAATTCTGACTAAATATATTAATGAGAAATGACTATAGAGCGCACTCTATGCTGCGGTTCTTAAATTCTACACTAGCCTTCTACCAGACCCAGAAACAATCACCAATAAATGGCAGCCACATCAGTGGGGATTAAAATCGACCCTGGTCTTGGATGTGAAGTCCGATTTATCCCACAACAGTCAAAGAGGGAGTCTCGAGAAAGGAGACAGCCTTGTTCATCCTGGTAAGTTGATTCCAGGTGTTTGCGGAGGAATCGGCAAAGAATTGATTAATAGTTGCTGTTGATGCTGTTCGACGTCAAGCAATGGACCTTCTGGCGTTGCACGTGATACTCTTTCTTCACAAATGATCTAACTAACTTTGGACTAGCTCGCTTTGGCCATGCTGAAAAAGCTTTGCACAAATAAATGTTTCCAACTTCAACAACTGAAGATCCTAATCAAGCCCACAACAGACTGAATATATGCGTTTTTGTACTATTTTCAGCTTTTAATAGTGCATTGGCCTCGATAATGTCTACTGCCTGCACAGTACAGAAGTTGATAAATGCCTCTATATGACAACTATTCCGCTCAGCCTTAGCGGTCATTGCTGTCAAATGTCTTCGACCACTACTTCCCTTGATCGGTCTCACATATTCTCTTTTATGTAGCAATGGCCCTGCGTTTTTTATGCGACCACCCATTTACCCTTTGCCATTTCACCATTCCCTTCGATTATCGCTTCTACATATGCTAGAGCTCGTCGTTGCCTTCTTTTCAGAACGCGCGAGTGTGGACAAAGAAGCAAGAGGATACTACCGGATACCACATACACAAAGTGCAGTGGTTTTTCACCTAGTGCGGCACACCCGGTTTCTCGTCCATTTAAGTATAGACAATGAGGAACTGGGTGGGCTGCATGGGAGACATTTTGTCGAATACTTCTGTTGTTGAATAGCTGGACTGTCCAGTCGTGAAAACCTGGCCTTCAAATAGCCTGGTTTCTCCTGGCATTTTTATCACACCTGCTTGAGGCATCATGGAGCATCACTGATTGCGGCTAGCTAAAACAAATAAGAATGAATTGCAAATATTTTGATACAGTCTATGAATAATCTGAGTCAGCCTCTCCATTGCATTCACTATCAATTGATGTCACAATACCGTTTTCACACCAAGCGCTCTATACGCACGCGGAGCCTACACCGTCGTATAAAATCTAGCAAAGCACTTCATACACGTTCAATAATAGATAATGCTAGATCCCTCAACTCTCCTGTCACTCCTGTTTACCTTGTACAACTATACGACTCTACAGACTGCATTCACATTGCATTCTTCATCTCCCTCAAAGAGTTCATTACATCCACAGGGTCTGTGAGCCCTGTAGCCTTCTGAATTTCAGGGTCCTAACGCAAGTTTTTGTTAATCAATGGAGTTATGTAGAGCAATTGATGAAGCAACCCACCTTTACCCGCATAAAAACATTGTGCAACTACATACACCAAGCCGTTAGCTACTCTTTTCAGACAGAATTGGGTAGACATAGGATGTATAGGTACCTTTTCATCTCCAATTGTGAATTTGCCCTCTGTCCGTTGATTGTTCTCGCAGTATGCTTGAAGCTTTTTAATCGGCTCCGACTGGGAAACGGATAGACAAAATGCAACATTAGATTTGGTATATTCATGGCCAGGCTGGATAAAATGAACATATTCACTGTTAGAATGTCCGAGTACACTTCGGGATCTTTTACTATCATAAGATCAACTTACGTAGACTTTGGTATCATCTGGTAAGGCAGCAAGCACCTCATTCAGAGCCTTATTCATTTCTCCAGCGCTACCCTCAAAAAATCGACCGCATCCTGAAGTCATGTCAGACAAATAAAAACCGACTTCAAGAGCTGGATTTGGTTTATCAATTAAAAGCAGAGACCAACGCTTACCCGCAACGAAGAGGGTATCTCCAGTAAACACAGCCCGCTGGTCTCCGTCTTCAGCAAAATAACTGATGCTGTCTTGCGTATGGCAGGGTGTATGCAGCGCAGTGACAGTGATTCGGTCCCCGATCTTGAATTTTTCCCCATGGGCTGGTGTTTTGGTAACCATCTGGCAGTCCTTGCCTCCAATTACGGCGAGATTGCGAAATTTTTCAAGCTACCATCATGAAACAAGGCAGGTCAGTTAATCCTCTCCTAAGTTCAACGGGGCTAGGAAGCGTCAAAAAAAGACAACCGTACAATTCCATCATTTCCGCCTGCGTGATCCCAATGGCTGGCCAAATTCAGTATGTTATGGTTCCGATAACACACAACCATGTAGACTCACTGGTGAGTATTTATGATTGCTTTGAGATTAATCTTCCCCGAATCAATATGCGACTTCAACACTGGGATAACCCTAATTTTTCGCTTTTGTTAACGTTTGGCCAGAAAGTAGACTGTCAAGAACGTACTCGGGAGGATTTGCGGGGTCGATAATCATAGCATCTTTAGTTGGTTCGTCGGATATAAGGTAGGCATAATTATTGCCTTTCCCCGTCCCTATTACGCAGACCCAGCTCCGTTAGGGACTTAAGATATTGGGGCGTAAGACAAAAACGTACACATTGGAATCGATTCGATATGCATTTTGCGATATTGTCTAACTCTGGATATACTCGACAAGGATATCAAATGTCTAAATTGCGTTTTTGCAAACATGAGGTGACTCAGTCGGATTGGTGGTCTTTTACAGTTTCATCGCGATATCTGAACAATCGAATTCTCAGAATCGCCCAACTATGTAGTTAAATCCCAGAGCTGATACATAATGCGGGGATGACGTCGCGCTAAATAAGCTTCAACGGAGCACGGAACTGTCCTTTTATCCGACAGTGATTGTTAATGGGACATCTAGACCATCCCGATGGGCTTGAAACTTCGTTTTCTGTTAATGTTCCAGCCAAACTCCCTCAGCATTTCTGTGTCGGATTCATCTGAAATTTCAACCACGCCCATTACCGGATTCCCGTCTGTTTCATTAATTGCTACCTCTCCCTTGAGGGTAACCTCCTCCTCAGAGCTACAGCTTGCAACCAATTCCTGCGCCTTCTCAGCCCAGTGCCCGGTTGTGCTTTCAAATAATCCTTGAGTATACGACAAGAATAAATACTTCTTTCGGAGAGCAGACCAAGAACTTGAATCCAGAACATGCTTGAACCAAGCGTAGACAATCTCTTTGTATGTGTCAACTTCGGAATTTAGTGATGTAGGCGCGACCAAAACGTTTGCCATGGCCTCAGTGAATTGGGTCAGAAAGGGTCTGTATAATTGACACATTTCAGTCAAAAACCCATCCCATAACGTGAATAATTGGTTCATTTGACTGGTCGAACTGTTTTCGAGACTATTAGCATAAATGCGTAAAGGCAGGCTAGATGGAACCCTTCTCACCTTCGAGATTCCGGTATCAAAATGCCTCTACGCAAAAGTGCCTTTGCAAGAAATACTCCTCCACGGTCATCACACTCACAAATTTTTGTAAGCTCGTTAATCATCAACGCTGGACTTCGGCTTTCGTCCAAGTACTCGTTTTTGCGAGGATCACTGAAGCCTGCTCTTTGTTCGGCCATGGCAGACACAATATTCCATATCGAATCGCTCAATACTTGCTCGTTTGAGGGGTCAAGCGGATAGTTTTTAAAGAGAATACCCTCTTCAAGCTTTACCCAGTAGTAATTCCATAACCAATCAAGGGATCGTTGAGCTGCGGTCCGTAGTGCTGCCAAAGATGGCAATTCGCGATGAGTAGCTTCATGACGAAGCTCCACAAAGGACGCAGGCACGCCTAGTGCCGTTGCCTTGTGGTACATAGTCTGTTTCCTGCCATATAGCTTTGAGTCTACCAGACCAGTAACGAATCTAGCATCCTCGTTAGTCAAGTCACAACATGCATGGTAAAGAGAGAAGGCGTTTTAGAGAACTGGAATAGAGAAAGAGTCACAAACCTGCAAAAGGCAGAGGAATATGTCGCTCTTATCGAAAAAATCGAATTTTTCTGTGGGTGGTCGTGCAAAAAGGCGTCCGTCAATAGCGCAGTAGCCTCGACTGCATGGGGCAAATTCCCTCGAATTTTCCAAGTCCACACCTGTTGCGCGATCAATTAGCATACCATCAAAACATGCATCGAACTTTTCAGAAGGGAGCTGTACAAGAGCTGAGGCCGTGGCCCGCAAATCCGGTCCCTTGTAGCTGGGCGGCGGATAGAATTGATACCGTACAGCAAGGAGCTGGGAATGCTCTTTCCAGGGGGTAAATTGTAGCTGTGACATGGCGTGGTGTGTTAAACCCAGCCGTCTAAGGTTACGGTATCTGCTAAATATGCCAGTCGGGTTAGATGGGGTATCTTGAAAATGTAGTGAACAGGATGTATTTTTTATTTGCTGTGGGAGAAAACGGCTGGATTCCCTTAACTAGTTACATCCTGTGTAGCGTTATTTCCAAAGACTACAAATATGGAGTAATCTCATGGGTTTCAACTCTGGATATTGTTTTTTGCTACATCTACATACACCATGAAAAATACATATAGCAATGACAATGGCGATAGATGGCAATGAAGCAATCGATTGGCCAGGCTTCCGATTATGGTCCTTAAGAAAATTGGGAACTTCGAGGTAAATCTACCTCTATGCATGATATCCAGCAGCAAGCTAGAAAGAAAGACGTAGAAAATGGAAATAAAAGATATGGTGCGGTATGATTAAAATGAAGATATTACTTAGAAGAGATCTTTTTAAAACGAGCTACATGGAAAAGGGGGAAATCGCCGTCTTGAACGAAAATGTTCATGTATCTTCCCAGGTAGTTTGAGAGCCGTTTTTCGAGGTGATCGATCGTCAAAGAAGTCCGCATATATTGACTTCCGCAATGATGACGCACCATATCGACATCTTGAGGACTTTGCCAGAGTTGCCATACACCACTTTCGATCATTTGAATCAGCACAGCGTCCCAGATTACACCACATGGTTCTTCTTGTCTCGCCTTGCCCTGGACCGTAATTGAAATCCACAGTATCACGTACTTCGTTAGAACATTTTCGGCACCGGTATGCTTTAACAAAATATTCTTCGGTCCAATTTCGGAGGTGCTGAAAGCCATGCGAGGCGCAAAGTGAATGGTGTGGGCCTCGAATCTTTTCCTCGGCAGCTTTTAATGAGTCCGGCTGGTCAAGGTAAAATAGACTCGAATAATCTAGCATCACCAACAACTCATCATCGACAATCGTTGCGCTCAACTTGAAACACATCCATTGATCAGGGTGTAGAGTATCATCCGGGATCCCAAAATTACATTCAAGCTGGTCAACGTGAAATCCATACTTTTCGCCGTATCGATGGTAGTTCATGATTGCCTGGGCAGTAGAAAAGGTGAAGAACAACCCCGATTCCTCCAGCAAAAAAACTCCCATATTAATATCACACTGACGTAAATGATACTGTGAACAAATTGGACATATGAAAGGTCGATAATGGAAAGTGGCACAACTACCGCAGAGTTGTCTGCTCGGAAACTTGGGTGAAAGTCGTTGAAGAAAGTCCATCCGGTTTGTACTGACAAGCTCACCGGGCCATTCTGACAAGTTCGTCGAAGGCCCAAGCCCCTCCAAAATTTTTGTTCCGTCCAAGATATCCCAAAACAACTTGCAGGTGAGAGCTAATGATGCTTTGTCTGCCTCAGAAAAGTCGAAATTACACAAAAGATAGTAAATAATATCGATCGGAACGTTATTGATAGGAGGTATCATTGTGGAATCCAATGGGAGAGCAGGTATAGGGTTCTCGAAAGTGACCATCTTAAACTATAGGTGGCGAAAGAAAAGGATGATGTAGGCTTGAATATCGAGGGTTTTCAAATGGGAACAGTACGGGACACTAGGTCTTCAAGTACAGGAGAGTAACGTTCAGACTCACTTCATTTCAAAAGGTCTCAAGTCAGAAGCAGTTGAGTCCCCTCCACTGATGTTCTTTTACACTGGCACAAAGTTGGCCATCATCTGACTTCTTCCGGTAATATCGTCCCAAAACTTGGCACATGAAGCGAATATTCATCTGAAGAGGTATTTGTGTGGCTCTCCATTGTTGTATTAAACTCTTACATATTCCCTGGAAGGCAGGCGACGGATAGGTGTCCGTCTCTCTTCGCAAGCTGCTACGACACGGTGATACGGATGGAACATGTTGCTCATATCAAGCAATACAATGCACAGCTTTTAGATAAATATAAAACCTATTAGATATGGTATCAAATAAAACAATAATGGATAATGGAGCGATTCAAGGACCGCAGCTCTGTCCTTAGCATCACAGTGAGAGCTGAAGCTCCAGGTTTCTCGCTGTGTGGCCGTTGGCTTCTGGAAATAAGGTTTGGCCTTGTGCTGGCGCTTAAAGGCTTAGCTTAACGGCTAGTTTATATTGACCAATCAAAGCCGGATTAGTGGCAGATATGATTATATAATCTCTGGAAGAAGCTGGTCAAGGAACATGGAGTGCGAAATCCATTTTGGTATATTACTATGGTCTAACTAAAGTTTCGCTATGCAATGGTATGAACTGTTTAAATTTCTATAGGCATGCCGACAAAATGGTCTGAAATGGTAAAGAAGTAGATCATGACTGGTCGTTACCGTCGTCGCTGTCATCGTCCCCATTGTCGTCTTCCATGGGCGGCGGGCTGAAAGTCTCTTCGAGCTTCAACCCTTTTCCACTCAACGAGGGTTTTGGTGGAGGAGCATTGATCAGGCTATCTCGAAACCGGCCAGCCGTTGAAGAATCTCCCCATGAACAATCCGGCTCATCGTACAGCCCGACTCCCATTAGAACCTCATCTGCCTTCTTGGTATCCAAGGCATATGTGGGAGGGGTTTTCGGCTCGGGAATTTGCTGGTATGGGAATAGTTCTGGTGAGGACAATGCGGTGGTGTCGCAAGACGCCGATGTCTTGTTGTATCGTGGTGTTTCGTATTGTGGTGAATAACTGAGCTCAGGGTAGATGGCATCCGAAGATACTATCGGGAGATAAGTTGGCCAGTCGCACTCAGGCTCTTGATAGCTTAGAGGTCGTGGTGGCAAGACGTAATCGCTGAAAGACGAGTGTCGAGACACCGTTTCTGGTTGTTGCTGAGCCGGAAACGTCCTGGAGTGAACGAAAGTACCGGGTGCAGAGAAAGTCTGAGAGTTGGTTGAATGCCGCTTAGAGCTTCGGGGGGTTTGAGTCTGACGAGACGACTGGCTTGTAGGCCTAAAGGAGGTTGACAGGCAGTTCGATGCAGTCGCTTTCTGAAGGGCAGCATAGAAGCTCTCAGCTAGCCCGTCACTATGGGTAGAGAAGCGTCTCTGAGAGTGAATTAGAGCATCTTCTAGCGTGCCTTTACGCGGGCTGTTTCCAGTGCTGGAGACTTTGGAGATGCGGTTGGACTGCCTTCGCGCCAGACGGTAGAACTGAGTGGGATGCATGAGCCCACGGCCACCATCGAGGCCCATAGGGGGCATCTGGTCGAATTGAGACATGGTGTTCATGAAGAGAGAGGCAACATGTGTGTATATAGGGTATGTGTATTATATATAGGAGGGGAGGGCAGCAGGTGTGGTGGCCTTCTGTCAGCGGGGAGTGGAGACAGATATTGGATATTTATAAAAGAAGAGATGAGAGAAAGGAAGGAAGTACGACATATGAGTCAAAGTCGTACTTAGCACATGTAGCTTTGCGGGCTTTGTGGACGGATAAACAGAATAATGGCTGGCATGCGTAACATGGGAGGCGCTTGCTTGGGACGGAGCATCATGACCAGTTGTGGGGTGTGGAACGTGTGGCCCGGCATTAATATGTGGTGCAGTGGCTCTCATCCCCATTTTACCAGGCGTTAATAATACTGGGGCTTGTTAGATCTGTTTGACGAGCCGAACTTCCAGAATATTGGCATCCTTGACGGGCCACCGGGTCCTTGGGCCTCAAAAAGACGTTCCCGGTAAGAGCCAACAGGATGAGAGAAAAAAAAATAATTAAAAAAAAAAAAAAAACCAAAATCAAAATCAAGCTGGCCAAAGTTTGACGAAGGGACCGCGGGCGTGAAAAAAAAACGGACGTATCCTTTCTTGTCTTGGGCCTGCGGCGAATCGATCTTACTGGGAGCGAGACTCCTGCAGGGACAGGAGGAGTGGGCAGCGGGGCCCTCGCGCATCCCAGCCCAGCGAATTCATGGTTGCGAGCTGGCGCTGTCGCAGATTTTTCTCTGCCTTTTTGGCGTGATTATTAGGATCTCCAGAAATAGCGAGGAAAAGCCTGGGAGTGGGTTCCGCCGGCGGCAGGCCAGAAGTCGCCAGAAGTGGCCCAAGGCAAGCCAGGGGTCCAGTCTCCATTTTGAACAGCACCGGGTATGTGCTAGTCAGCTAGTCGGTGGCTGGGTCCCAGGTGATATTGCTCGTTAGCGTTCCATACCAGCGCCATGCATGTCCCCTGCCGATGGCGCGAGGCGAAGCCAATTGGCCACGATTCATGATGGATGCGGTGACGCGTTGTCGTCGAGCTTTGAGCGCCGGCGCGCTGGAAACAGCGCGAGCTGTTCTCGCGAGCGACTCGTACAGCCGCTACAGCGGGCGTCGGGCTTGCACGATGGTGGTGGTGGTGATGATGGTGATGGTGATGGTGATGGCGACGGGATTATTATTGTCAAGTGAGCTAACACGAGGCGCCGTATAACACCTCCCACCGACCAATTTGCATGCATTGAGTTCCTGCTACTCTTCCGACGCGGTGCTTTGGTCGACGATGATTACACATGGGGCTACGCGCCGTCGTTGATCGAGGGATTGCGGCGGATGTATCACATCTTCGTACGGAGCACGGGAGACTCCATGCGGAATACCACATCAAGGCCATCTCCATTTACCCTTTTTTTTTTTTCGTTATCCTCGGCTCCCCTGCGGCCTGGGTGGGAAGGTCTCATTAATTATTACGATTCATCTCGCTCGAATTTGTACAAACTCTGTCGATGTTGCACTCATGAAGGATCTGGCCAACTTCTCGGTTTTAGCCAAACGCAGCACACGCGGCAGCGGTGGATAGGCGTACATAAGTGCTCGTACTCCAGCCCATATAGGCAGATTTTCTGGCAAATAATTTGCTCCGAGGCTAGCTTGCTACTGCGGCCTGAGCTCTAAAAAAAATATTAATTACTGAACGCTGGTACGTCATACAGGAGGGTTTAAGATTTTTTGCTCCGAATGGCAAATCGGCATTCCCAGCGTGGGTGTGGAGCAGCGGGCGACACCTTGACTCGACGAACTCCGAATCGAGGGGCGCCTGTGCGATCGTCCGTCTGCCACAGCGGGCTTCGCCGGTTTGGGTATTTCCAGGACGCAAAAGGAGGTGGTGGGTTGGCAGCAGGATTCCCACCCCAAGCCTGGCGCTGGTTATTATTATTCCACGCACAGCTGAGATGTCGGGTGTTTGGCAGCATTCATGGGCTGATTGGCACCACAGCTGCCCTGCAACGCTAATACGCTTGCCGCCAGCCGGATTGTTGCTCTTCACATGTGGCTGCAAACTCTGTCGCAGAGTCCACGCGCAAGGGTCTTTGCCAAAGGATAAGCTCTCTTCGCCTGTCCGTGACAGCAGGGGGGGTGGGCTAGTGATTCCGGATGGGCCATGGGGCCAGCCTGCCAGTTGACTAGACGGAACCAGCCAAGTCCGTTTCAAGTCTGCCAGATCAGGCTGGGAACATCGTCGAATCTGGCACCAGGGCCCGAAGTGATGATGCGGCATTGGCTTTTTAGAGTTGGACGTTGGCTGTCGGATGCAGGCGCATAACTAACCCCAGGACCCGTCCATCGGCTCAGCGCAAGCGTCAAATAATAATAATAATACTAACGAGAGCGGTGGATATTCGCTCACCACTCGCGAGCGGGCGCCAGAGAAAGACAAACAAGAGACAGAGAGCTTTGGCCCGCGCGCGGCGTGGGACTTGGAAGCTGCCTTGCGCCCCCGGCGTCGCAGGAGTCACACTCCGCCGGCTGGGTGGCATCGCCAGCTGTTTGGGCGAGCGCAGAGTTGGATGCATGCACGCTGCTCCTCCATATTATTATTATTTACCGGACACCCCAGGATCTTACAAAACGAGCAACGCAGGATGCTCTGTGCTCCCCGTATCGACTCTGATCAACCTTGATCCTTCATCTTGGCGAGATTTGAGTTACCGTGCGGGCTTTGGCCACACAGTTGACGCTTTTTCAGCCTCCCAGCACAGTGCGCGAAGAGAGAAGGCAGCGAGAGTCTAGATGGTCCAGAGGACTTTTTTGGATGTATCGCTCGTTGCTTTTTCGACAACTAATCCTCCACATGTAACATGGATAGGTGCAGGATGAGATCATCGTCTTTGGGCAACCGATGCAGAGTGATAAATGGCGATGATAATAATGGCACGGCGCCCAGCAGATCACAGACAGCTCGGATAACCACTTGTTGTTGTTGGACACAATAATAATAGGAGCAAGCTGGGGCACCGTGATCACAGGCGGCGGCGGCCGAGATGCATGTTGCCGGCGAGATTGCGCAGAGCGATCGGCCGGGTCAGACGGGGATTTTCCGTATTCTGAGATGAACACGCCGTGCTAATCAAGGCGGGCATCTTAATTATGATGTGTGTATTATCATGGCAGAGGGAGGCAAGCTGCAAATTGCGGGCACAGGGATGCGCGGTTTCAAACGACAACGCCTAAGTCGCTCAGAAACTCCCTAACAGCTGCTACTGCTAATACACCCATCCGTATAGAGCCTACGCCTACGCCTGACCGGTTCTTGGGCCGGCCTCTTAATTGTTATTCGCCCTAGCATTGCTAGCGACTGATTATTATGAACTAACTAACAACTCCTAACTAACTAACTAACTAATCAAATAACACCTAGTCCAGCCGACCATCACGACAGTTTGCCCAGGCGGAAAAAAGGACCCAGGAGCCCACCACGGCCCATTCTCAGCGTGCGGGCTAGCGAGGCGCAACGTGCCCCAGGGCGCCCCCAGGCGAACCCCACAGTCTGGTTGATGCCGTGGCCGTGGAGCTGCGAAAGGGAATTTTCGCGTCACGCGGCGGCCGACTGGGATCGCGGTGGGCAGAGAGTCGCAGCAGCAGCCACTGGGATGCGGAATGCGATGCGCCAACCAGGCGAAAAAGCAGGCATCCGCCGCTCGCGAGCTGATCTCACTCCCACGCTGGCCCCTTTGAAACATGTCTTCGATCGTAATCATCGCCGGGGATTCGTCGTCTGCAGCGTACGATTCGCCCGTCAAACCCGCGCCATCCAAGTGCCCGCCTACCCCCCCTCCAGCCACCCATGTGGGAGGAAGACAGGGCGTGAGATACGACCCCCATCCCATACATACGGAAGCACCTCCTCTTCCTCTTCCCTTTCTCCTGCACGGCTCATTTCTCCGGTTGGACGTGTGCGAGCTGCATCGAAGGCTGTCGCAGGCCGGCCGGCAGACCATTTGCCCACGGGTGGCATGCAGGGCTGGGTTGTGCCTTGCAAATGCTACCTCAGCGAAACACACCGCAGCAACACCCCCTTCTCGCTCGGCTGGTCCCCGGCCCTGGAACAACACCATTTGGAATCGTCTTCTGGCTGCGACTCACTAATGCTGCCGCCGGCGCTGAGCTCTCTTGGGCGACGACGTGAGTATTTGGAACGCGACGCACTAACCCGCTAGTCAACCACCACCATGCCCTGTCGCGAACACGAAAACGAGTGTCCTCAGTTCTTTGTTGTGTGGCAATATACATAGTTAGATAACCAACGGCACCAGGCGAGCCCGCGCGCTGCTCCGGCCAACAGGCGGCTGGAAACAAAAAAGCGCCCAACGGCTGGGCGGATGGACGGATGGATGGGATGTATCTGTCTGAAGCTAACTAGGGAGACTAAGGGACTTGCGTCGGCCCAAGCGTCCCACACAGCTCTCACCCTGCATACAGCAGTTCCATGACTCACCCGGCTCGTTGATTATTTGCACGCATAACTAGTTACGTTCTGGACGGGTGCCGGCGGGTTTCTGTTCTCCCCAAACAGGCAAATTGTCAGACCTGGGCGAGCCGGAACACGCCGTTTTCAGCCCCAGCACCACAACTACTTCCCGCGCGCAGAGGAACTACTTCGTATATCCATGCAACAAAGCACGCAATTCCGCCCTTTTTCTTGGACGTTGAGCGTGGTCGATTGGCTGATGTTCCATCCCACCCACAGGCATTTTAATCACGCATGCGTCCAAGTGCGTCGGTCAAACGGCGCGAAATCGGCGCGCGCTGGAGGGAAGCTTCCTTTTGCACCATTTTCGATCCGTCACGGTATAGCCATATTTTACTCCAAAATAATATCGCCCCTTAGACCGGGGAACGGGCGAGATCCTCCAGCGCCGGGAGGACGCGATCTGCAGGCATCACGTCTTTCCGTTCCCCAAAAACGTATGGAGAACAAGAATGGCGATAGGCAGAAAAAAGAAAAAGAAGTGGAAAAAGAAAAGGTCTTGAAGTCGCACTCCGTTGCTTTAGTTGTACCTTTCTTGTCATATTTCTTGTCTTAAACATGCTCACAAAGGGATCTTCCCTACCTTTTTCACCATTTTGATCGCACTTTCTTGGCGTTTGGCTCTTTCAGCAACACAACCGGGAATGCTTCTGTGGAGTGCATACACACTTTCATAGTTACAACGTCTACAAGAGTACCCAGGATAATAACGCATTTTTGAAGCTGTTGTGCCATGGCTCCATCCAGCGCGAAGGACCACATATCATGTCTGATGCTGACCTTCCCATTTGATCGCCTATGATGACCCTATCGCTGGGATGGTCAACGCTTTGATCTCCATCTGCTGATCCGGACTGACCGCCTAGGCAATGTTTAAAATCCTCTGCCTTGCGATTCTATCCATCGCTTCGATACATGCTTTTGCTCCCTCCGGATTGTTTGTCGAACTTTCGTTTTGACTCCTACCTGATTTTTGGAAATGAGCGGTGACGCCGCTGGTAAAAGCCACCGGGATGCGCAAACGCCGATGGCTCTGGCGTGTGTATGACAAACCTGATCGTCATTCCGGTAGTTAGCTGGTTGATTGGTTGGGTATTTATCGATACTGCTAGCCTCCTGTACCCAAAGGCCCTTTCTTCCTTCGTGTACGGAGTACTCCGTACTCCGTTTTGAGCGTATCTACTGATTTGCCCCTCACCGGATCGGTTATTACAGAGTACCTCGCGCGTGCCCTTCTAAAACTTCCTAAGAAGTGGACCCTAGCCCACCAAAGGAATGCTGGAAGAAAGAAAATAATAATAATAAATGTCCTAGGTCCTAGGAACCCAACATGGAGCCACCTGCAACTAGTACTATACATATGTAGTCCGTTTAACCCACACCCCTTGTATGTACTTACTTACATACCAGCAACTCCCGCGAGAAAAAAACAAACCCTGACCCGGATTGTCAGCCTTTTGCTTCTCTAGCTCATGTTTAAGGCTGCCACTTTTTTTGGGTGCATGTACTCCCGTCCCGAGCATCTAGGCAAGTCATTCACGTACTCAGCAGCCTTTGATAACCTTTCTTACCCGTGCCCCCAATCTCCAAGCCCACGCACGCACACATGTACATACATAACTTTCATTTGACGTGCATATTCATACGTAACGAATTGAATATCCAGCCGGCTGTAAGGATACCCAGTGCGGCGTACAGGATCTGCCCAAAGCTCTTTTTTTTAACACGTCTGCGGTGTTGCCATTCAAGACCCGGCAAGCCCAATATCAAACATGTTATGGGAAACCAACAAATGTGAGATCCATCCTTCGCTCACAGCCTCTTTGTCTCATCGTCCGATCGGCTGTATTCTCTTGTTTAGGAAAACAACCGGGCTGGCTAACTAGCGGTTCTCGTCGGGTGACTCTTGTCGTCCCTTTAATTATTTGCTTTCGGGATGCTGTCCGACGATGCCATGAACCGGGATGCACAGCAGCAAGAGGCAGTCAACTAGTATAATAATAGTAGCTGGCCACGCACTGTCCACTGGCCGAGCGGTATCTTCACATGAGCCAGGCAGGCCCTATGCGTCCAGCGAAGGATCTGTTTCTGCATTGCGCCCAGCGTTTCCCATCCTTCTTTTAGCCGTTGGCCAGGGAGCCACTCTTAAGAAATGCGCATATTGGCTCGAGGATGCCAGGAAGCCGACAAATGGGCTTCCATGCAGTCGATCTTCGTACATAGCCGTAAATCATCTCTCTCCGCCGTTCATGAGTTGGCCGGTTCGCCCAATCATGACGCCAGCGAGGGCTGCCACTAACTAACTTTCGACGACAGGCCATCCCATCCCCTCCGCCGCCAGCAGACACCGCCTGAATCAATCCAAAACAGTGCAACGCCAGTCCTGAGCTCCAAGGGCGTCCGTGCCATCTTCTGCCGGCTCTGGCTCAGAAGCTTGCCCCTCCACTCTTAGGTAGCTGCTGGCTGAAAATTAAACTCCGATGGCCTACAGCGTCCAGGTTGAGACGCCGCTGCGTCCAGATACGGTCGGTGCTCTTGCTCGAACCCTGCGTTTCATCACCGCCATCCATGGTGGCTTCGTCGTTAATGCGCGTTCACTGCTTCATGAACACGGGCGCTGAATTATATGCTGGCGGGAGTTCTAGGCCGCCCAGGCGGATTGTGAGAGCGACTCAGACCTCCAACGCCAGCTTGAGGTGAGCATGCGCCGTCCCCCCTCACATTCCCCCAATCCCCACCGCCCACCCAAGGCTCCGCCCTTTAATGCCTGTTTCATCGGCACAGGTGACCTTTGGCACCGATACGACACGTCGTCGAAGATCCTCCTGGGTTTCAGCTGATGTCGCTCGATCTGCCCTCCGCCAGACGGACCAGCCGAGCAACGCCGCTTGCTTCGTCCATTCACTGCTCGGGAAACCCAAGGAACTTCATCTCCAACCGCTGAAAGAGAATAATATACACGAAGCCCTACCGGACGCCATCGACCATGACGATGCTGTTCTGGAGTCGAGGCTGCTCACGAAAAAGCAACTGTCTGACATGGCTTGGAATGTGAGGACGCTGTCGAAGAAGCTGGGAAATATCAGATTGAAGCTCAATGTCCACAGCGTTTTCCTCCTCACAAAGCCGCAGGACGATTGCTTGGTGCGCCTAACAAGAGATGTCGCTCGGTGGCTTCTTTCGAAAGATCGAAATGTAAAATATGTCGTTTACATTGAGAAACGATTGAAAAATGAACCGGACTTTGACGAAGCCAATATATTTGCTGAGGAACCATCCGCAAACGGGAGGCTGGAATATTGGGACACGGATCTTATCCGTGAAAACCCCCAGTTGATTGATTTTATTATCACCCTTGGGGGTGATGGAACCGTTCTCTACGCAAGTTGGTTATTCCAGCATATTGTTCCACCTGTCCTTTCCTTTTCATTAGGATCACTGGGATTTCTTACCAAGTTCGACTTTGGAACTTATAAGGATACCCTGAGAAAGTCATTTGAAGAGGGTGTCACTCTGAGTCTTCGGCTACGGTTCGAATGTACGGTGATGCGAAGTAAAAGTAATTACTCAGCAAACTCCTCGCTCGTCCAAAGGGATGTTGCTGAGCAAGTGCCTGGGGATGAGACCCAGGATAAGGCAACCCATGTGCCAGACAAGACCTTTCATATTTTAAATGAAATTGTTGTTGATCGGGGGCCGAATCCCAGTACGTGAAATCTGACCCCCTTGCCGGATCTGATTGCAAGCAACTCACTATGCCTTGCAATAGCTATGTCCTCCCTGGAAATCTTCGGTGACGATGAGTATTTCACGTCAATCCAGGCCGATGGTGTTTGTGTCGCAACCCCAACTGGATCGACTGCCTACAACCTGGCTGCAGGGGGATCTCTCTGCCACCCTGAAAACCCTGTGATTCTCTTGACGGCAATTTGCGCCCATACTCTCAATTTTCGTCCGGTTATCCTGCCGGACACGATTGTTTTAAGGATTGGAGTGGCATATGATGCTCGCACCAGTTCATGGGCAAGCTTTGATGGACGCGAGCGGTATGGCGACCACTTCATTTTTCCCTATTTTCCCTCTCAAAGCTATAGCAGTACTAACATAAATTACCTAGTATGGAACTCCTGCCAGGAGACTACGTGACGGTATCAGCTTCGAGATTTCCATTTGCAAATGTAATGACATCGAATAACCGAAGTGGGGACTGGATCGAGAGCATCTCAAGAACGTTGAATTGGAATACGCGAGAAAAGCAGAAGCCAACACGCCACGAGAATTATTGCGATTCCCCTAGCAAATGAAGGCATTTCTAAATATAAAAATCAATGCCGTAATCTCACGCTCAGGAACGATGTGAAGTTCGGTTTTGCTCTGGCTGCGACTGTGGGAGAGCTGAACGGCTTCAGCCAGAAAGACAGTTTACTGCTGTCCTGCTATATATGTACAGTACATGAATATAAGGGAACGAAAGGTTGGCACATACAATTGCAAGATGGAATATAATACAACAGATTGCGGCAACGTTTTGTGTCTCAGATGATGCAATATATTACCCTCTGCGGAGTAGTGACAGGTTCAACTCTCCTAAGCTTTGCAGTGAGTTCGATTGCCCCACGACTCTTCCACCCCCACATCGAGGGCCATCTCGTGTTTTACAGATCGATATTTCGGTTGGTTGTGTATTCCCTTGTATTGCGTTTCTTGCTTTGGCCATACCAGCGTCTAGGGAGTGAAGTTCCGCTGGTGAGACAGCGATTTCCATCTTGGCTACTCTGTATTTTTCATGTCCAACTATTATGACATTCTTGGGAAGAGCGGTATCGAACAACACAAGCCTAGCTCGCTCGCCACCATGGCACCAGTTCAGCTATGAGCAAAACCTCGATCGCCGTATAAAAAGGTCGCTTAAGCCCTGAGCAGGCTATATCACCCAAAAAGATCCTTGACTTTTGCGAGTTTGAGGTAGTTCAGAACTGCTTTTCACACCCATCTGGCTTGCAATAGGTATCCACGACCCTGTCATAGGTGGTGTAGTGCGGGTTTTCGCCCGAATTTCCCAAGGAGTTTTGTCAAACGACAACCTGGGATTGGAGTAACCAGGCAAATGCGGCCATCGATGCTTCCTAGAGTCTCCGGCTTCGGCTTTGAATATTCGCCCACTCCTAATATCTCTATTGGATCGTGAATATGGAGTGTGAGCTGCAAAGCTAGAGCCGTAGCGGCCGCATATGGTTTTATCCAAATTCCAAGCCGATTGCTCCTTGATTGCTCAACATGGGCACCAATATGCTGAGTCCAAACCCAGGTACAACTCTAAAATAACTGTACCACGATTGTGGTAGTATTTGCTTTTTGGTTTTGAATCTCGACTGCTAAGCAATCTCAGGAGTAATAAGGGGGTTGTTACACTAACTTGAGTGTTACCGGGAAATATATTGCTATTTGTTGATTTCACGTTCCTTTGGTTACGACACTGAAGCCGAAAACGGTCTGCATAGGCCGATCAAGGCATAACATGTTTGAATACTCCGTATTTGTTCAGTGATCATGGCCTCAAAACTGCCCCTTGGAGTCTACCTTGACAGCACATAGTCCATTTTCTGCGAATTAGCCAAATTTGTAAGAGCCACCAGGCCTACTATTAATCATTATGAATAGTTGCTCGGGCTCTTCTAGAACTCGAAGTACCGCAAAAGGAGACTACTGGGGGCACAGCTGATCTATATCCATTATTAGAGTTCGGAAGACACCTCACATATCCAGTGTATAATCGGCCGTGCCTAACAAATCAGCCTGCGTTAAAGCATATATGAAATTTATACATACCAGGCGCACCTTTACTCTTATTTTCATCCTAATCGATTTTCGGGACGACTGGCCGTTGTTGTACTCAAGATCGGCCAGCCACTCTCTGTTTGCCATGTCCTCCTCCCGGTCACCAGCCGGCTCTCACTCACGCCGTGAAGACGGACGTGTATTGATATGAAAGGAAGAGGGTTGAACTGTGTTGTCTAGACCACATTTGCTCGTTACCCCCATTTCCCCATTATGTTAAGTGTTAGGATGCATGCCAACCAACTCTTCCTATCTGCGATATTTTCGAGCTTCGCTGTCTTTACGTTGGCAGTTGATTTCGAAACAGACGTGGTCGTTGTCGGTGGTGGCCCTGCTGGGCTGAGTAGCTTGAGCTCTCTTGCCAGAGTCCGACGCAAAGCGATATTGTTCGACTCTCGAGAATATCGCAACGGAAACTATGAAAGGGTACACGATGTGATAGGCTCCTCGGGTGTGTCAGCCCTCCTCACCCTGCCTTATTAGCCAGCGAGAAGTCTTTTGACACTAGTGGATTAAAGATCTCATGCCAGAAAGTCTGCGATCAAAGGGACGTGCAGAGATATCGGCATATGCCGAGACGGCATCGTTTAGGATGGGAGTGACGGTGGACTCGATAGTTCCCATGCCTAAAGGCGTTACCACACTTTTTCACATCGTGGACTCTGAAAACAAAACGTATTCCGCCCGTAAAATAATCCTAGCTACCGGAATTAAAGATCGACTTCCAAATTATATCATGGATTCTGGTTCGATTGGCCCTGGAATTTACTGGTGTCCTTGGTGTAGTGGCTATGAGAATAGAGACGTACCTATAGGAATTCTGGGTAGGATGAGCGATGTTCTCGATACCGTGCTTGAAATATCAACCCTTAACGGAAATATCACCGCTTTCGTTGATGGTACTGATACCCTGGAGGAAAATCGTCTAGCAAAAGAAAAATACCCGCGCTGGCGAGAACAACTTCAGAAATATCAAGTTCGAATTGAAAACAGGACTATCAAGGCCATTGAACGACTGTCAACCTTTAATGGTCATCAACCACCAGAAGTAGACCTGAGATCCAACCTTTTCAAGGTTCATTTTGCTGACGGTTCTGTGACTGAAAGAAATGCTTTTGTGTATAACTTTCCAACAGACCAGCGCTCGCCTCTGGCCGCAAGACTAGGGCTTCAAATAACCAAAGATGGCAAGATCAAAACAATCATCTCAAGCATGCGCACAAGCAGTGACGGAGTCTTTGCTGTTGGAGATGCAAATAGTGATGGAAGCACAAATGTAGTTCATGCAATGTGGTCTGGCAAGAAGGCCGCTATTGAAGCTCACAGTAGGCATGGTTAAGCAAGATTTTAGGGTTCATGATGCTAATGCTGCCACAGAGGATATAGAGCGTGAAAACTCTCTCTCTATGTATGCTGACAGAGGGCTTCAAGGGAGCTTCCCCCAAAAGCCTATATCCAAGTAGTTACCCGTGAAAACACCACAGTATGTGCTTTGTCTGGCGGCGGCAAGTGGGCTGAATTGATTCCGGTATATAACTTTACATTCGAGGAAAGAGATTTGTTTTTCGCGAAGAGAATTTCTTGTGGAGCTATGATTTATCTAGGATCTTCCATATACATGTCTCTCAAATGACGGAACTTTATATGAATGTTTTGTTCGTGATGTTTCTAATCCAGATGGCCAATGAATATGAGAGCGTCGCACAAGCGCCGCGAAAAAATCTTGCTCTTGCTCATAGTGCTTTTCAATAGAAGCTCAAGTATCAAGGATACTGTTATTAAATGCTTTGTATAGAGTAACTGCAAACTTAGGGTCCTCTGGTCCCATAGGGTTGGTCCCTATGTATGTATAGTTACATATGTATCGTTCCCAAGCCTTCTTAAGTTGCTCCTCATAACACAAAACGAAGAATCATACTTTCACCTTAACTAAGTTTCTCGCAATTGGTCTTGTTCATTGTCAAAGGCATGGCGCTCCGATCTCTGTTTACAGTTGGCCAGCAGCTTCGGGGCCGTTTAGGTGCCTATCGAATTACCAAACAGCTTACCGAATTTATCTACTGCGCACTGTATTCTACCATTTTCTTACAGAGATGTCCCCGGATCTTGGGTTGTACCCCTACTAATCGCAAACATATATCGACAGTAATCAAGATGATCGACCCGTCGTGATTAAAAGTGTGGAAGGTCACTGGCGCCTGAAGAATGAGCGAGACGTCCTCAATCGCTTCCAGGCACGCTCGTCACATCTCCGACCACTGCTCGACGAGATAGAAGACCCCACTGAACCGCCTAGCATAGTTTTACGCTATCTCGATGATGACCTTACGAGAGCCGAGGAAAAGCAAAGGCTAACTAGACAAGAGATCAAATATATAGCTAAGCATCTGCTTGAAGGCCTGCGAACCCTACACAAAGACGGCTTTGTTCATACTGGCAGGTCCCCACCTTTTATTAGGGCTCTATAATCTTCATCTAATTTGGGAATTAGATATTAAACCAAGCAATGTTCTTGTAAATTATGGAGAGTGTGAACACCGGTTTGTCGAAGTACAACTTGCAGATCTTGGTGGTGCAGTCAGTGAGAACTCCGAATTTGCAAAGAAGGGGATTATGACTGGCACAAATGTCTTTCGTGCCCCTGAAGTTCATCTGGAGCTGCCATGGGGTACTGCATCGGATATTTGGTCATTTGGAGTTACTGTGAGTTGTCCTTGATCTCTAACTTAGGGTAATATCATTCCTAACTCAGACCTTATAGCTCATTAATCAGATATGGGGGCTAAATTTCCATATCTTCGAACCTAGAAATATCGGAAAGGAAGAATCATATGACCTGCATGTACTAATGAAACAGCATGAATGGTTTGGGCCATTCCCTCATTCCATGAAGGATATTGTGGATGAAGGAGCCGACAAGATCATTTCATACATTTTTGAAAATGTTGAACGAGTGGGAACGTTTCCATATGTAAAAGAAAGAGAGATCTGCGATATAGATAAGGCCTTCATCCTCAAAATCATGAAGCTTGATCCAAGGGATCGTCCAACAGCTGCGGATCTACTTCATGATGAGTGGTTCACGGAGAAATCAGAGAGAACAGTGGGATGGTACTCTGTAGACGAATGGAGGGAAATGGAAAAGGCGAAGAGGGCAACAGGATGAGCCCAGGGGAGAAAAATAGTGGACTATGCAGGCTTTGCATGTCCGTTGCTCCAAGAATAATTACAAGAACATTCTCTCGTTACCGCCATCGCGAGGTAATGTGATACGCGTGTTCAATAAGAAGGGTATCTTCCTTTGTGATAAATTGATGTTCCAAAAGACGTCCATTTGAATTTTAGCACCAAGGCACAAAATGAACAATCTCCTTTTCTTTAACCGTATGCAATATACTGCCTGTGAAAGTCTTGATAAAAAGGAGCAGGAATCGGAGGTAATCAGGATGCGTCAGTTTCATGGGAAAATTCCAGAGAGTCGCAATCATTAGACTAGACCTTGGGCTACTCATTAAAGAGAATTCGAGTCGTTTCGGCGTTACTTTAACGTTGGTATGGGACGGATAAGGGGGTATTTCTGTTAAAATCTGAGGCATGGTAAAGGAATTAAAGGCTCGTCGGATATAAGATCGTTGTTGGTCAAGTTGAGTAGTTACATGGTTTCGTAGGTTGGTCTTGTTGTACGGAGTAGTAGTAGGTAGTTACGTAGCACCTAGCTAGTTATGTAGTTAACTAGTTAGTTGGCTAACTACCTAGTTAGTTAGTTAGTTAACTGAGTTCCATAACAAAACTGACTAACTAGCCAGGAGCTTTATCTCTCACCTCAAACCTCCATCGACAACACCAACATCTAATCCTGGACCAGCAACCATGGCCCAAAATAGAGAAGAGAAGCACCATGCACAGCACCAACAATCACACTCGGTATCGCAATCAACCACTGAGAGGCCTTCAGGGCTGCGGGTGCCCTCGAATCGCAAAACGATATACGACCGAAACCTGAACCGGAGTCGTAATGCGGAATCTAGTCGGGCAAGCTTTGCATATCTGTTTGCGGAGATGGTGACATATGCGCAGCGACGGGTGACGGGTGTTCAGGATCTAGAAAGACGGTATGGCCCCTGGTTGCTCGTTGGATATCGATGTCGACGCCATTGAACGGGCGCATTATATATATTAGAAGTAGGCTGTTCTGTATTTGCTGAATTCAGTCTAGGTTGAACGAACAGGGCTATCCTCTTGGTCTCCGGCTGCTTGACCTCCTTCTCTATAGAACGCTTACAGGCTCGTCGACCAGCATCTCCTCCAACCAACCCATCCGACCCCTCCGTATCATTGCTTTACTCCAACTCATCCACGGTCCACTCTGGCGCCTCCTCTTTTCCCGATCCGCGGATGCGCTCGAACACTCCGTATCTCCGGATACACCTAACGAATACATGATAACGGACAACGATCCCCTAACAAATATGTATATTTCCGTGCCCAAAGAAATGGGCCTGTTGAATTGTGCAGCATTCGTGGCGGGAATAGTAGAAGGAGTATGTGATGGGTGTGGATTTGAAGCTAAAGTCACGGCTCATAACCAAGGGAATGATATGTGGCCGAGTCGAACGGTGTTTCTGGTAAAATTTGGAGAGAGTGTAATGGAAAGAGAGAAAATGCTGGAAAGGGCCGGCATCAAGTAGAATTCTTGTTTGGTGGCTTCGTCTCCAAAGGCTACTTGCTCGAGCCTCGAAGATCCTATGGATTTTGAAAATGGGTATTTACGACATTACGGCAGGTATATGGGGCGTCCGGCAGATCTATTGCAATACACGTGCAGTTTACATATGTCATTGTTGAGAAGAGGGGAACCCTTGCCATTCTTCGCTTCGATGTTTTGATTCAGAGAAAATATATCGAATGAAATATGTTCGAGGCTAAAGAGGAAATTAAATACGGGCATATATTAACAAATTTTTAGAAAAGACCCAAACAATCCGTTTGCCTTTTGCTAAATATTCACGGCTGCATGTCAAAACGCCTCGCAATGCAACACATATCACCATGCCAATATGCAGGAAACTCCAAAATGAAACGAATGCCAATCTTACGCAGTGGTGTCTACTCTCCGTCTTTTATCACGATCAGAGTATGGGGGCGGACTGCGCTTTCTCCCTGTCCGATATTCATCTCGATAACGGCCTCGCCTAGGAGACCTTGACTTTGAACGAGACCGCCGCCTTGTCCGGGTTTTAGAGGTGGATCTTGATCTGGACCTATATCTCTGTCTGACCGGAGACCGGCTTCGACTCCTCCTTCGTGGGGGCCTATCTCTCTCTCGAACTGAGCTCGCATTTGCACCTGTGGGACCGGATGGTTGTACACGATCAGGAGCGAACCTCTCATCTGTAATGCCGAAACGAGAGCTGCTATTCGCAGGGGCCGAGGACCCATAGTACGATTCCACACCCCAACGTCCGGTATCTTCTGTTTTTAAATCCTTGTATTTTGTTTTTCCCTTTCTCCCTACTCGTGTCATATCTCGAACCTGTAAATATTGGGGCAGCGCCTCGCGGTTTTGTACTTCATCGACATAACGGGAGCCCATGAGATCCCTTTCTGCCAAGCCATGTTTTTCGGAGTCGGGCTGGAAGAAAGCACCCTTATGGAAATATTTCTGCATGAAGCCAGCTTTGCCTCTACTAGCTTCACGTTCTTCTTTCTGCCTAGCGATAAATTCACGATCTTCATGATCTCGTTCTTCGGCGGTAAGGTTACGACGACGCTCAATTTCTTCACGCTCCTTTTCTGCAGTTTCGATGGCTTCGCGCTCACGTTTGACCCGTTTTAGTTCGCGTAGTCTCCACGCGGCTAGCTCTGCAGCTGCATCAAGGCCGTCGGTGTCGTCAATATTAACTTCCTCCACACCTGCGCCCGTTTCATCATCATCATCCCATGATTTCTTTTGCGCTGCCCTGGCTGCTGCCTCTTTCTCCAGCTGGTTGCGAATCATTGCGTCTGCCTTCTCTTTACGAAGCTCCGCCTCGTCCTCTTCCACTATCGATGTCGCCGCAATGCCTGAGCCAGGTGTAGCTGACTCTTTACGTTGGTTTTTCTTGATAAAGGTTGGCCTTAGGAGTTTGCGGGTTGGAGCATCGTCTTCAGAGCTTGATTCCTCGTCCTCCGACTCTTCTTCCTCACTACCAGAGCTTTCTGCGCTCTCAGAAGTGGCCCGAGGCTGGGCATTGCCGGGACGAGTAATGCTAGGAGCTGCAATACCTTCATCCTCCTCTTCGGTTACAAATCCCTCCTCATCCTCCTCTTCTTGTAATTTCACGTCCCGTACGCCACTTGTGATTTGCTTCGCATCTTTCGCAGGAAACGAGGAAGCTTTAGGTGGTGGCGCGGGTTTCAATTGTTGTTTCTCTGGTCTGTCTAGATCCTTTCGTTGCTCCTCAAGACTCTCATCTGCTTCTTCCTCATCATCCTCTGACGAATCTTTCTCCTCAACTATTGCTTTCCCAGGGCGATATCGCTTGGCTGGCTTCAGAGGATTCGCAGTCATGCGACGAGCGGACGAGAATGTCGGAGGAGGCATATTGATAGTATCTATAAGAGCTCAGAGGAAATGTCAATGCACAATTGAGAGATCCTCGCCGCCGTTTTGCACCAAGATGTTGTTTGGTTTGCCAGAGTGCACGTGATGTTTGCTCCGTTTGTATATTATACCGGCAAATACTTAACCCGCGCCATTATCACGTGCCAGGTACGGCGGGATAAAGTTTCTCATTTCGTTATCGGGTAACATGACCAGCCGACTCCACCCGCCCGATGCTCAATCGGCAGCTGTCTGTTTCAGATGTCTTGGGCGAAACATGCTGCATCCTGTTTGCCCGAATGCATAGTGATGGTGACCAGGCCTGTACTCGAGCGTCAAGACAGCATCTCTGTCGCTGTTGTGACCACTGATAAACCTATTGTGCACACTACTAGACGCGTCCTTGCATCATTAGTCTGCATGCGCCCCTGTGGAGGTCGTGCGTGGCGGCATAAGGGGGCGGCAGCGCGTTCCCAGCGCGGATCAGAGCAAATGCCAAGCTAACCGGAACAAGAGCATGTGGCATGACGCTAAGCCTAGAGCGGACTAACGGCCGAGCCCGCGGTGGCAACGCTAGGCCGCAAGCAGCAGCGATTGGCATGCCGTGCGATCGGCCAATCAATAATGCGACGTCCGTCAACTCCTGCTCATCTTGGGGACGTGCTTTCCCTTTGTCAGGAATTATTTGACTCTCTCCTTCCCCTTCCTTTTGGTTTCAAGGTCGTTCTTTCCGCTTCTTTTCCTTCATTCCTCCGCGCCAAATCGCCGAAAATCTAAACCAGTCGTTCCTTCCTTGCTCGGGACCTTCTCCTCCCCCCGGTGGGGTCTTGCAGCCGTCCCCCGTCGCTCTTTCCCTCTTCGCCCTTCGCACCACCACGCTCCTTTTTCTTACGTCAAGATCAACCGCCGCCTTAGGGCTCACATAGCCACCACAATATTCATACCGTGCTTTATACCTATCTCCATCCGCTGCATTGACAATAATGGCCCCCCGTAGGGACGTTTCTGTTCTCTGGGTCCTGTTTCTGGTCGCAGGCCTCATTTCCCCCACAGTTGCCCAGACATGGACCGCATGCAATCCTATGAAAGCAGACTGCAAGCCAAACCCAGCGCTGGGCAGAGACTACGCCTACAACTTCACCGGCAACCTCAACCCTGCCGTTTGGAACACGACGTCGGGGCAGGTTGTCATGGGAAAGGAAGGCGGCGAATTCACGATCAAGGAGAGACTACAGTCGCCCACAATTCAATCGCACTTTTACATTTTCTTTGGCAGAGTCGAGGTGCACATGAAAGCCGCAACTGGTAGGGGCATCGTCAGCAGTATCGTTGTTCAGTCCGAAACCCTTGATGAGATAGACTGGGAATGGGTTGGCTCTGAGCAGGGAATCGTCCAGACAAACTACTTCGGCAAGGGCAACGACTCGAGTTTCGATCGCGGGAAAAAGCATGACGTCGCCGACCCAACCCATTCGTTCCACAACTATACCATTAACTGGACCTCAAAGCAGCTGGAATGGTGGATTGACGGCAAGATGATCCGTACACTGAAGCCTGAGGAGGCTGGTGGCGGCAAATTCTACCCCCAAACTCCATCTACTGTACGCCTAGGGATCTGGCCTGCCGGGGACGAAAAGAACCGGCCAGGAACTATCGAATGGGCTGGCGGCAAAGTGGACTATACCAATGGCCCATACACTATGATTGTTAAATCATTGAAAGTCCAGGATTTCTCCAGTGGCAAGGAATACGTCTATGGAGACAGATCTGGCTCCTGGCAAAGTATCAAGGTCGTTGCGTATGTCTTACTCATATATCTTATTCATCTCGTATGTACTGACTTAGGGATAGGGGAGAGTCTGATGTTGCAAAAGAGGCTTCAAAACCACCTCCAAAATCGTTTGCCGAAAAGTGGAGAGACTTGCCCGCGGCTACCAAAGGCGGTATCTTCGCGGGTATTGGGGGTGCTGTCGCCATCGGCCTGTCTATCATTGCGTTCTGCTGCGTTAAACAACGAAGAGCCGGACGCAAGGAGTACAACATGGAAAACAGCAAATTCGTCTCGGAACAGGATAGCAATATGGCGCTTCGATCGCAATGGAACCATAGATATCAAGAAGTCCGCAGCTATTAACCGCAAGCGTTCCCCAATGCGCTTCGGACCCTTAATGTCGAGCTTGGACCTGTTGCTTGGCCGGTCCGAGCAACGTTATGTAACCCCAGACACCTCATTGTCCACCAAAAATCATGGTCCTTTCTTATTTCCAAACCGCCTTTTTATACGCCTGTCTATTTTTTCAAGATCGACCCTTTTTGGCTCTGTCCAGGCATGCGCCCTTTATCCGATTCGGAGTTGTGGTAATCATATTTTGCTCATTTTCCCCTTTTCCTTGCTCATACTTTGCTGGTCTATGGGAGTCACACCTTCCTTTGCATGTACATATACGATAATGAAACATAAGTGTCTGCCACCGGTAGATACCCGCTTGAATGTTATTTTATTTTTTTTTTTTTCAATTCTGTTCTGATCCAGAGTTTAGGTAGTCGGTGAGTAACAGATGATAAAGAAGGACTTAACATTACTCCATACGCCCGTATTTGGGGTATTTAATCTTATCTTATCTTATCGTAGATCTTATCAAATCAATTAACTAGTTAGTGCTGAGTAATCAGACGCGGTCGCGACCGTCGCGTTCGAGTGGGAGGAAACACTTGTGGCCTTCTTCTGCCCTCTGGTTCACCATACCAGTCGCCATCACGGTCTCACAAACTCTGTGAACATGTCTCTGACCACGCCTAGGATACTTCCGGAGCATTTACATGCCTTCCTCCCTACCCCTACCAACCGCAATCCTACTGCAGTCCGCATTCTTGGTTCAGTCTCCGAGCTCCACGGAGAGACTGCCACGCTCTCTTGCCCTGGCCATGGAAACGTCACACTACTACTGAGTAGAGACTCGCATTTACAGGTTGGAAAGATGTCTGATATTGTGGGGAAAGTGGTGGAAATTGAAGGAGTGAGTTGCTAATGACTTGATCGGTCTCTTCGTTTTATTTTCTGCCGTAGAAGTCTACATTACTGACTGAGGCTTGCTGGGATTACAGGCTACTGGAATACGCGTTCTAGGAGCATCGGATTGTGGAGAGACAAGTGACATAGGTGCGTGATATTTGAGATGACATTCGAGTCACTTCCGTGCGCGTTGACCGCGTTTCTGACCTATGTATTCTTGCAGATTATAAATTGTACGAGAAGGTTGTCGAAATGACTCATCGATTTAAAGACATTTTTTATGTTGAAAACTCATAAGCCGGAAGAAGAAGAAAAGAAGGCAAATTTTAAGTTCTTGGATCGAGTGTGGGGGTGAGATATTTCACATTGTTGGTTGTGGGTACTGCGTAATATATTAGCTTCGGCAGGCTGAGGCGATCTGCATGGCGCCTCTAGGCTATCTAGTAAACTTGGTATGTGGGTGGAGGCATATGTATCAAAGTCCTCCAACCTCGAAGGCGCGAAAATGCTCTTGCTGTGAAAATAGCCTCTGTATGACACTTGGAGAATCATCTTTGGTTTGATGAAAGTACCTCTGGATGGCAGCTACCCATAAAGTCCTCGAAATCTGTGCGAATACTGAATGTATGGTTATTCTTCTACATAAAACTTAGGAGTTGTGTGGCGACCAGTAGAAGCACAGTTGGTAGGTATGCATGTATGGATGTACATACATGAATATATTGTGCAATGAGCAAGTTGAGGCTAAGGAATCTGTTCCTTGAACCAAGAACAGTAGGAGGTATACTCTCGTATAAAACTGGGTAAACAGAATAGGTGAATAAATATGATCGGAAGAGCACACCAATTCTTCAGCCTGACTGACTAAGAAAACAAAGCCAAAACAATTCGGCTACCCAATTTTGTGCCGCTATACAGACTTATGTGTGTACATACATATATAAAAATATGATGAACACTCTCAGCAACGGCACCTGGAAACTTAAACTGAAGTTGTTCCCGTAGCCACTTCTTGAATAATAGCAGAAATAACCTCTGCATCAAAAGGTTCTGTGCTATTTATTTTTGACGGAGACGTAGTAATGCTATCATCTTTAGACCACATGCCACTGAGTAGATGTGGATCAACGAGGGCAGGGTCAAATATATCGGAATCCGAAATCGCTGATGAATCATTGAATGTTGCATAGTCACAGGTGGATGCAAGAAGTGATCTAAATTCCTCTTCGCTGGGCTGGGCGGCAGTGTTTGGTGGTATGTCCTTTTTGTTAGTTTCACGAAGTTCCGGTATTTCAACGTTGGTATCAGCAATTACTAGATTAGCATGTAGGCTCGGATCAATTTCTACTTCGCTGGCATGATGTTGCACGCCAGGTGAGACGTAATCTGATGTATCCCAGTCTGCCCACTCATTTTGTCCCGGGTCTTTGGGTGCATGAAGTGAGTGAAATGAGTCTAAGTCCCCAAGGGTCCCTTCGTCAGACTGAAAAATATTGAATATCAAGCCGTCAATAGTCTCAAAACTTCTTGAATTAGGGCTGTTCCAAAAGACCGAGTTCCTACTGGCTTCCATATGCGTTCCGATGATATCAGAAATCTGTTCGGAGCCCTGTTGATTTTCACATATTTCTTGGGTTGGAGGCTGGGTTTGCGGTGTTGAAACATTTTCTTTGTTGCCAATATGTGGATTTACTTGACGTTTTTGTCTTGGAGTAGGACTATTAGAGACCTCATGGCTGTGGGGTTTATCGTCGTCGCCCTCAAATAGGTGATCAAGACCATCATCTAATAGTTGTCGTTTATTATCGGAGCTTTTCGTATTCGCTGACTTTTTGGGACTTGACCGAGGACTGCGTCTTGCACTATTTATTAACGCATCACTGAGTACTTTCATGGCATTATCTTCTTTTATCGACGGAAATAAAGTCCTGCGAACGGGATTTGGCGTAAGATTTGGCTCTGTGAAGGAGGCTTTGCGTACTTCTAAGTTTCTCGCCGGGCTTGATTGGATAGCACGTCTTAGTGCCTCGAAGGCATCCTCCTGTTGCCAACGGTCGTTTTTATCTGCTAATCTAGCTGGCTCTGCACTGTTTGCCCTCCTTTTTTTGGAACGAGAGTGAGCTGCATCGTTTTTCTTCCCGGAATTCTTTTTACTCTTAGGCGTTGTTTCATCGTCGTTTGGTGATGATGCTTCGGAGGGAGGCGGAGAGGAATCAGGGCGCTTAGCTGCTAGAAGCCGTACTTGTGATCGTGTAGACGTTGCGGGGACGGGTGGGAGTTTCCTATTGGATTTCCTCTTTCGCTTATCTTTTGGTGGGGGCTTGTTCCATTTATTTTCTGGCCTCATGTTTTTAAATTTGTGAAGCCATAAGCCACATGCTATGCTGTTCTTTAGTAGAAGAAACTATAACCGTATTCAAGGAATAACTCACGATTGCACAGAAGCAGCTGGATGTAATCTTTATCCTCATTTGCCAAAGACTTTTTGAATTGTCTGTAAGATGTAACGGAGCCATCGGATTCGGTATCAACTGGTTCCCAGAACAACATCCCCGTATCATTGATACAAGCATTTGCATCTTCCGTATTTCCTTCGATAACTTTGGACCAAGCTCGTCGCCATGTGGTAGTCTCGATGGCACCGCAATTCTCACAATAAGGTGGGACAGTTCCTTGCTTGATACATTGATCAAGCCGTGCCTGAACTTGCTTTACTCGTCTAGCGCCGGCACCACTTCGGATTTTCTCTGGAAGAACAACGGGCGCAGGGGTGGACGCTGTTGCCATGTCACTCATAGGATATGACTGGGTATCCGATTGGTGACCTTGAGCAGGCGGAATAGCAACGTTTGTAGAAATAGGAGGAAGGGAAGAGCTGGGGATGACATCCGTCTGTCGCTGTGCGGTAGGGGCGGGTGCCGGCGCAAGTGGCTTTGAGGACTGTTTTATGCTAGCTCTTGAAGATGGCCGAGAGCCAATGGCCTTTCTGGGCTGTGGTGGCAGCGTGGGCGCTGAACTCGCAGGTATCGGTACTCCGTCACTCATCAACTGTCTGTGGTGAAGAGTCCCATTTGAGCCTCCATTTGCAGAAGGAGTCTTAGATATTGCTAGTATTTGCGAGCCATTCGTATTTACATTTCCGTTTGGCTGTTGAAAGTTGTTATACTCGTTGGAATTGTCATCGTCAAGAGGCTCGAACGTGCCGCTCATAAAGCCGGAATCTTGATTAGGGAGAGGAGGAAGAACAGGACTTGACGTTTGTGGGCACGCCATGTCCATGATAGGCGGCGAGGAAGGCATGTTAAAAGGTGTTTCAGAGAATGCACCGTAGCGCTGTTCTTCTGGGGATGTGGCGGACATCTCTGAAACACGTCGATCATCGGGTATGTAGAGAGACGCTTGGGAGCGCTGGCTCAGAGTGGAGGATTGCCGTCGCAAGCCACTTTGCCCTGCGGGAGCTAGTCGGCGATTAGGTGCATTCGATAATGATGGCACAGGCGTTGGGGGACGAATCGGCTCATCAGTTGACGCTTGAGGTTGAATAGATGGGTTTAGAGGGGTTGGTCGATGAATCCTAACAGAGGCAGCAGTGCTGGCAGCCACACGAAGAGAGCCTGGCTGTCGCTCAATGTTCAAATTTGTCTTATCTAGATCGGCCCTCATTAGCTTTGCCCTTTTTTGAACAGGGCCTTCAGTTGTTTCATCGGAACTTCCGTATCCAGACATGATAGAACCCCTTCTACGAGCGTTGAGATTAGCACTCTGAACAGATGCCCTTGAAGATGGTCTGAAAATGTCATCGGAGGTTCTCTTATTTTGTTGGTTTGTAGGCCTTGCAAGTGCTGGAGTTGAGGTCCGACTTGGAACGCGACTTGCAAACTGTGCTGGGGAATCGGCGCGAAAGCTGTTCATATTAGAAATATCCCGAGGTGTTGAGCCCTCACTTAAGATACGGTGGACATTTTCAATGCCTGACATATTCATTACGGATGTATCTCGATCAGCAGACTGTATCTCACCATTGCCAGCAAACAAACCTGGGTTGGCTTGCACAAAATTGGTCCATGCTTGTGCATCGAAGTCCTGGGGGATCATATTGCTTAAGTCCCGATACTTCTGCATGCTATTCAAGTATTCACTTTGAAGAACAGTCGGGACTGGGACAAGTTTAAGCTTCACCTCAAGGGTCTCCTGTGATCCTCTTGCAAACAGACCAGGATTTGTGCACACGCGACCTGTCACCATGGTTTTTGACTGATGTGCTGGTGCATTCGGGGTCGGAGAAGCCGAGGCTAGGACCCATGATAGCATTCCTTGCCCCACCAATGGTGTTTCATACTCGGAATAATCGTAGGCATACACGGTGTAGTCTCGACCAAGTTTTGCTACCAGTTCGGGACTGGGATCCAATGTCTCGGGTTAATACTATAAGTGTATTAATATCGCATGGTTCTTGGGTCATACCTTGCGGAGACAATAGCTTGAATGCATGTTTTCAACTCAATAACGCCAACCTGTGTATCCTCATCAAGGAAGGCCGTTTGTATTTCTAGTAAATGTGGCCACCGGGCAAGGCAGTTGGTTCTGCTTTCGTCATCAAATGTGTAAAGCACCTTAACTGGATCGCAGGTTAGATAGACTGAAGGTTGGGAGGTTTGAAATGGCGATTGCTTACGCCGCATTGCGCGAATGGATATACCGTCTTGGTCATCCATGGAAGCGGACTTTTACAGCCGAGTCAAATTGCTTTAAATCAAGAGGCCACTCTCTTTTGGATTTTGAGAACAATTCGTATCACACGAAGATTAGTGTCTTTACTCAAGGTTGAGTAGACTCTAGTAGGCATTCATAATCGATAGGGTCGCGTCAAAGTATTCAACGATAAATCTCAAGATCGGTTTGAGAGAGCTATTCAGGATAATCAATTGAGAGG